AATCGATTCATCCAGTTTGGTGGCACGGACCCGCTTTCTTAGGGCTGAGTGAAGATTGTTGGCCTAGCGGTAAATTCAACCACAGGGAGGAGGATCTTCCAGAATTGAGAGGATGTTTTACAGCCGTCGCCATTGTTGAAAACTCAATTGTCAATGAGTTACTAAACAACAACTCCAACTTAAACAAAGCATGTCGCATTCTCGTATATTGCCTAAGAGTTCGTAAAACGCACCGTCCAGCCGAGCCTACAATATTCGTTTCCCATCAGGAAATATCATTTGCATTACACGTTATGGCTAGGATTGTACAAGAGCAGGCCTTTCCCGAAGAATACAAGGCTTTGTCCAAGGGCGACACTATCAACGCGTGCAGCAATCTGCTGTCCCTTTCTCCGTTCATAAACAAGGACGGGCTAATTCGAGTAGGTGGTAGACTGGACAACTCAGGTTTGAATTTCGATGCCTGTCATCCGATTTTGCTACCGCGCGATCACGTGTTAACCAAACGCATAATAGAACAAGAGCACGTGCGCAACGCACATGCAGGCACTCAAGCCACCATGGCTGCTGTGAGGCAACGTTTTTGGCCAATATCCTTGCGATCTGTCACACGAAAAATTGTAAGGGGTTGTATAACGTGTTTCAAGGTCAAGCCCGTTCTCTCGGAAGCAATCATGGGTTCATTACCCGCCGGGCGCGTAACTGTGTCAAGACCGTTCTCTCATTGCGGCGTCGATTACGCCGGCCCATTAATATTACGTGAAAACAAGCGACGCAACGCGCGGAATCACAAGGCGTACATAGCAGTTTTTGTATGCTTCGCCACGAAGGGGGTGCATATAGAGCCTGTCAGCGATCTTTCCTCCGAAGCCTTCATTGGCGCTCTAAAACGATTTGTCTCACGCAGAGGCAAACCATCTTGCATGTACTCCGACAATGGAACCAATTTCGTCGGAGCTCACAGGCAGCTCAAGGAATTTTACAACTTTTTCAATAACGAACAGCTTCAAACTGATGTGAAGCATTTTTTACGCGAATAAGAGACCTCGTGGAAATTTATCCCACCCAATGCTCCGCATTTTGGCGGCTTGTGGGAAGCGGCGGTAAAATCCGCGAAAAATCACTTGCATCGTATAGCCGGCAAGGCACATTTAACCTTCGAGGAACTACAAACAGTGTTGTGCGAAATAGAGGCCATTCTCAACTCGCGTCCTCTTACACCCTTAAGTAATGACCCTAATGACTTAGCTTATCTCAGTCCCGGTCACTTTCTGGTTGGCACCGCCTTGAATAGTTTCCCTTACAGCGATTTAACAGATGTAAACGAGAATAGATTAGTGCGATGGGAGCGAGTCGAGCAAATTAGACAGCATTTTTGGCGCAGGTGGAGCTGCGAGTATCTTCACTCCCTTCAGGAACGTTTCAAATGGAAAATCAGCAAGGGAGAGCAACTGAAGCCAGATCAGCTGGTATTACTCAAACAACAGGGCCTGGCGCCACTACAATGGTTACTGGGACGTATCGAGAAAATTCACCCGGGTGCAGACAATGTCGCCCGAACGGCCACCGTCCGTACTGCAAAGGGCTTATTCATAAGACCTCTATCCAAAATCGCGGTACTACCAGTAGACCCTTAATATGCGTTTCGACTCCGTTTAATGTTAGTCATGTAAGTTTAAATACGTTTTCTTATTGCAAAATCATTTGCCAATTTCAATTGTTTCCTTTTTTTTTGTTTACAAGGCGCAATAATACCTATTTTCAATTTTCGAGCGAGCGCCTTTTGTATTACATCACTTGCGTTTGTTATAAGATCCTTAACTGTAAGCAAATAGTTTATGTTTATATCCGTTAATTAACGCTTATTGAAAGTACGTCCTTTCAAGGGGGGCGGCGTGTTAGATATTTATTCGAAACAACCGCTCTGCGCGCTAAGGCGTTTTTCTTTTGTTTATGCGTATCGGTTGTTACTATTTTTCCTCGGACGCCCTTCGGTGTCTTCGCGTCGCTGCCATCGCGCGAGCATGCGCGCCTATGCTTTTTCGTACGTTGTACGTCTCGGTCGTCGCCACATTAGACAACGAGCGCTCGATATATTTATCACGTAGAGCAATTATATACTGTATTGAGTGTTGCTACCCACTTGTGTTCGGAAGCATCTCACATTCGGCCCTAAATAAACTCTAAATTAAGAAGAAATACATATTTCATCGTCCACGGATCTACGAAGCACCATCCCGAAAGAATACCCGTGGAAGGCACATGCCTCTAATTCAAAACAATAATTATTTTATGGAATAGCTCATATAAATGAGCACTTTTATATGAAGCAATTTGATTTTACATAATGTATTTTGAACTCTTTACAAATTTTTTTGCAAATATATTTGTTATGGTATTATTTAATAAATATAAATAATTTCAGATATCTACCGCAAACATGAAGTATCAACTTCTTTTCTGATATCTAAATCACTCATCTTGTTATTGTCAGACATTGCTATCAGAAGATCCAACACAGCTAGCCGCTTTTTTCGTACTGAAAAGGATATAAATATTTTGTATTTAATGTATGATAATGTATGACAAGTACGTTTATGAGAATCACCCTGCATGTATTTCTCATTATTGTATTAGAGTTTCATAAATGTTAAATAACAAAATTCGATATTTACAGTTTGCATTTGGAATTGTACGTTTTCCGTCTAATACAAAAGAGAGTTGTTCAAAAAATAATTAACTTTATTTAATATTTTCTTAGACATATTTTTGTAAAAACAATTACACTTGTAGCAAAATGACACATAAATTACACTCCCTTTTTGCGGATTTTTTTATATTATTTATCTATAATTTTTTATATGATTGTAGATAATATTAAACATTCCGACAGAACATGTTTGAAAAGGATTTATATACACATTTATTTATCCTTGGTTGGGACCTGGCCTATTCACTAGTGAAGGTAACGTAATAGATCTAACATAATTCTCATTTTTAATATGTACGATATTTCGAATTGGAAATATATAAAAACTATACTTTTTAATTCTTATAAATGTTTACAAATACTCAGACTCGATTGTCCTGATATTGTCCTTTCACGTATGTTCAGTCTATAGTCCTGAGTAATGTTAATAAACAAAATAAGTTTCAAGAATTACACGTAATTTTCAAACGCCATAAGGATTTTCACATATTTATCAATAAGAGGTACAGAATTTACAATTCTTTGTTAATAAAATTTCTTTGTTAGTAAAATTATTTATCCTCATGTATAGAATTCAATAAACTTAATTTATAAGGCAGGTATTACGACAAATACAATATTATTATTTAGTTACTAATTGTTTTTTTATATATATACCTAGTAAACATAAGCTAACAGTAATATAACGTCAATGTTATAATTTCCCACTCAACAATGTAACTGCAATACAACATGCCTTGTACATGCCTTGTAACAATACTTTTACTAATAAATACTTTTTTGTAAATGCTATTTATTAATTTGTAAATGTACATAATTTTACTTGCCTAATAAACTGGAGCACCACATAAGAGTAAGTATT